TCTGTTGGAGATGTGGAGTTCGTAGATTGTATGTTCTTCAGCTTTGGGCACAAAATTCAAGGATTTGACCCACCTTGCTTTGAGTGTTCTCCATTCAGAGTCTCCCCATATGAACTGGTCATTTGGGATCCCATTTCTGGTCTGTGGGGAAAAGGCACATTTGGGGCCGTGCAGGTCCTTCACCCCCTTCTGCACTGAGGAGAAGATCAGCCATGTTGTGGAAATACCCACTTCTCTTAGGGAATTCGGGGAATCGGCTCAGGAGCAGTCCATCAGCCAGCATTATTTTTTGCTAGATTACAATCATCTTTGCTACTCAAACTCCTCCTCACTGTTTTTCATACTCAAGCTGCCACCGTTTGGATACGTCCAGCATTCCCCATGGCCATTGCAGTCATGTTCTGTTGTTCCTGAATTTCAGAGGAAAACGTAAAATTTCTTTGGACTTCCATGGTGTTTCCTGGTACATAAAATACAAATGATAATAATTTTCACTGTAATTCTTTTGGCTGATGGAGGTCATCACCATGCCTTTTCCCACAGTAAGAAATGTTTCATGACATTCAAAGACACTGTAACAAAAAAGTAGGAATGAGCTAGTGACTTCAGTTTAGATGGAGAGGGACACACCCTGGCAGCTTACAGCCCTTACACATCTTTATTTTATGTAATGTAGCTCAACAGTTGTATTATTCATATAAGTACAAGTTTTTTTCATATAAACTTGTGATGCTTTCTGAATTTGTCCGGGAAGGTTAAGACAGTGTGTGCAATCTTTCCCATTTATTTTACATTATGAGCTTTTAAAATTATCTAAGTACAAAGATTTTCTTCCTTCTCAACAGAAATACTTAATTTGTTGTTCATAAAGATTTCACACAGAAAGGACTATTCTCTCAAAACCTATGGAATATGCTTATTGGCTGCAGAAAAAGAAATAGCAGCATTTTGGTAACTTCCAACAACTTCAATTCAAGCCAGAAAAGAGCTGGTGCCCTTTCATGGGCACAAATTTATTGGGAATTTATCTCTTTTCTCTAACAGTGTGTAAATCATAACTAAGATAATGTTTGTAAGAAAAAACCACCCTTCTATTTGTTAGGTTTAAGCTAAAAAAAAAAGAAGGAGAAATTAGGCTCAATTAAGGTTTTATGCCTTTCCTTATCCCAGTTTAAGAGAGGGGAAATAAAGCTCACTTGGAAATGTTTTGTGCATTGCCATGAGTAGTTTAGAGTAATGGTTGATCTCATGCAATTTCCGAACTTTATTAAATCTCTGGTAATTTTCAGATAGTTTTACCTTTCACCTAGAAACTCCTCTCCATAACCATATAGGAGGTATCCATTTAATATTACAAATAAAATAGATTTTCTGCCACTGCAAGATTTAAATGCAATTGATATTTTGTTTACTTGCTACCTCTCATCTAATCTAACCTTCTCCACTTCTCTTCCTTGAGCATTTTTTTCCAAACTGGTAAGCTTTGAGGATGTAATTTATACAAAAAATTCTGTGCTATTAAAGAACCCAAGATAATTTATTATTCTGAAATAAAATTCCCAGCATGTAAAGTCCTTAAAATTAGCATTGATTTGAAGTTGTTTTCAGAGGTATTAGATCAAATTCTCATCCCTTGGAGCCTGTAGACATGGATTACAATCATATTTTTCCATCCTGGGCCCCAATAGAAAAAATAAATCACAATAAAACACTTAATTAGTCTGAAAAATATTTTCCTATTAACTGAATAGTCGCAGCAATAACTCACTTGTACTTTGGAGTTAACATGGTTTTGCCCTTCCTTAGTGTTATCCTTAGTGGGAAGTGCATAACTCCTGCAATAAATCAACGGGCACAGCTACTGCTGATACTGATCACATTTGAGCCTGCTGCCCTGCTCCCCAGAGATGCTCTCCAGGAGGTCTTCTTGGCTTGAGCCCACACATTTATTTAATCCACATGTTATTTTCCCAAAGGAGCATCTCAACAGTTTTGAATCCCCGTCACAGCAGATGGAGATAGTACAACCATATACTCAGGAGCAGCAAAAGAGGCATTTCCACTGCCCAGCATTTGTCATGTAGTGGAAGTGGGCTGTTGTGTCAATGCCAATGGGAAACTGAAGGAAGATTGGTCATTTCTTCCCACCTGGTATCTTTGATGTAATCCTGCCCTCTCACAGTGGGAAGCTGCCCTCCTTGTCCTGTCACTCCAGGCCCTTGTCCAAAATCCCTCTCTAGCTCTTTTGGAGCTCCTTTAGGTACTGTCAGGGGCTCTAAGGTCTCCCTGAAGCCTTCTGTTTTCCAGGTTGAACACCTCCAGCTCTCCCAATCTGTCTCTGGAGCAGAGGTGCTCCAGCGCTCAGAATATCTTTGTGACCTCCTCTACACCTGATTCAGTAGGTCCATGTTCTTCTGATATTGTAGCCAGGTGAGGATCAGTCTTTTCTCCCAAGTAACAAGCAGCAGGACAAGAGGAAAGAGCCTCAAGTTGTGCCAAGGCTTGAGTTGGATATTGAGGAAAATTTCTTCTTGGAAAAGGCTGTTCAGCCCTAGAACAGTCTATGCAGAATACTGGTGGAGTCCCCATCCCTGGAGGGATTTAAAAGCCACATGGATGTGGTGTCTGGGGACATGGGTTAGTGGTGGGCTTAGCAGTGCTGGGGGAACAGTTGGATTTGATGATCTCAGAAGGCTTTTCCAACCCAAATAATTCTGTGATTTTATATTCTATGATTGTCAGAGCAATTTCCCACTTGGATTTCTGGTTGCATACAAGCGGACATGGTGCCCCTCATGGTGGAGTCCCTGGACACTCATATTAAAAATCTTTCCTGCAAACATTTGGGAGAAGTTGTATTTCCAAGCATAGTTGTTTTGAAATACTCGGGTGGCAATATCAGTAAAAACAGTGCAAATTGGTCTCTCAGTGACTTAGAGATCTTTGGAGTCTTAGGAATGCTTTTCATAATAATTAATATCCAGGGACAAACACAATCAAGGCTTGCACAGCTAGGGCTGGAGCATGCTGAAGCCTCAGGCAGCCTGAGCATCAGATGGCCTGGGTCCTAGAGAGCATGCAGTGGGACTTCTAATGAGATTAAATCCTTTCAACTCTATTTTATTTTGCAGCTCTGCCATGTGAAGGATCTCCAGGGGATTTGGGCTTCAGAGAAAGGTTACACTTCAGGCTGCCTTGCAGATGCTGGGCATCATCCTAGAATAATTTTTTTTTTGTCCAGCTGTAAGCAAACTCATGGACGCCACTGTTCTGTGCATGTCCCAGGGTACAGCAAGGGTTTTCATTCTCCTAATTATGACCTGCTGGGAAATACTTTCATTTTCACATAGATCATAGAGTTAAAGAGAAAAGATTCAGTGAAGCATTAATTTATGTAAAAAAAATCCTTACATTGATGCTATATGAATTAACTTTTACTCTTTATTTAATTTTTTCTTAAAATTAAAATAACATGTCTGCATGTCTTTTTTTAACTATTCATAGAATCACAGAAGCACAAAAACATAGCCTGGTAGAAAGGGCTGTTAAGTGTCATCTAGTCCAACCCACTGCCATAAGCAGGGACATATGCCACTAGACCAGGTTACTCAGACCCCTATTCTCTCCAGTAGATTCCTTTATTGGTTTTGTAGAGCACCCCCTTCTCCTACCTTAGTGGGAAGGGGTGGGGGGTAGAGTGGAGTTCAAATGTCAGCTCTGCATTCACCTTATATTCTTCCCCTCCACCCTGCTCCCTACTAGAGCTGGGCATCATCCCATATAGGACCAAACAAATGCCTCAGGAATAACAATCCCAGCTTGGCCCAGTTTAAAAAATTATTTACTACACCACTGATTTGGAAAATCTGGGTAGGAAAATGCTCATTTCTTTTTACGGAGGTATCACTTTTTACTTGGTATCACTCTTCAGCTCTCCAGTCTTACCAAGCATGCTCAATCAGTTCTTAATAAAATAGAGGAATAAGAGCAGATTAATAAATGGATATGCTATGAATATGATGAGTAACATGGCTGAATCGAATGTGTATGTGAATGGCATAAAAATGCATTTCCCTAAAGCATGTGAATTTCATATAAATCACACCCAGAGCTCAAATTGCAAGAACAAGAACTGAGAGAGGTACAGGATCAGAGGGACAATGACACCCTCCTTCCCCCATTGTCTTTGTGTTTTTCCTGTGCACCAAGCATGTGCCATCCTGTTACACAGGGGTAAAGGACTTGGTGATTCTCAAATGCATGGTCAGTCTCATGCAGCTCATGCCACACAGCCTCCAGGTTGCTGTTCAGGTGAGCAGCCCCAAATTTATAGGCAGAGATGCAAGTTTTCTGGGGAGTGGGTTGAGAGGTGGGTATCAGTGGATTGATTCATGGGGCAACTCATCTGAACAGCCCGGACTGGGCAGATGGGGAAACTGAGGCTTGCAAAAAGCCATGGGACCCACTCAACGTGTAGGTGTGGGCAATCCCAGCTCATACAAATCTGTGAGCACTGGGGACCCAGACCTTGGTGTTTCATTTTTCATTTTGCTTAGCTAAAATTTTTAAGTTAAAGTAATTATTTTTAATTTCCTCACTTTGCCCAGAGATATGCATAGAAATAAAATTCAGCTGGAGGCACAGGACTCTCTGGAGAGCTGCTGGGCTGGAGGATATGGGATGTTCACATTTTCGGGCATTATAGCTCTGGGACGTCACAAGGCTCCCGACTGGCATGGAGGAGTCTCCTCATTCTGTGCTTTAACACTGCCACCCCCTGGCACATCGACACTTTCAGGGATGGAAGCCTCAGCTTCTCTGGGCAACCTGTGCTAGTGCCTCACCGCCCTCACAGGGGAGAATTTCTTCCCACTGTCTAATGTAAATCAGAGAATCACAGCAGAGTTTGAGTTGGGAGGGGCTTTTAAAGCTCCTCTCATTCCAAGACCCCTGCCATGAGCAGGAACACTTTCCATAGGCAGGGACACCTTCCACTAGACCAAGGTGCTCCAAGTCCTGTGCAAACTGGCCTTGAATATTTCCAGGGATGGGGTATCTACTACCTCTCTGGGCAACCTAAATTCCTGTCTTTTGCACTGTGACTCTGGGGACATCCAATGAAGCCACCAGTGGGTGCATCAAAACAAACAAGACGAAGTGGCTCTTTATGTCTTTGGGTTCTGCAGCCACTCATGACCCTGAGGCCTTTGGCAGCCCTTGACCCCAGAGTCCCTAGGCCTCTCATGATTCCAGAGTCCTCAGCTACCCTTGACTCACGAATTCTGCCATTGCTTTGACCCTGGTATGCCCTCAATCCCCTGGTCCCTTGGTTGCCTGTGGCCTGGGTTCTTTGGTTGCCCTCAAACTCCAGGTCTGGCAGCCACTCTCAGCCCCTGGCCCCTGACCACCCTCTGTGCCACACTTGAGGCCAGGTCCTGCTGCCCTTGATCCCAGGGTCCTCAGCCACCCTCCAGGGACCAGCTGCTTCTTCCCTGCTACCCCTGACACAGGCTCGCCTCCTCTGGTGTGCTGCATCTCTCCCCTGTGCTCCTCTTTGCCACATGGCTCATCCCTCAGCATCTTGCTTGAAAAACTCACAGTCTCCATATCCAGGTGCAAAGTGCTCCCCCAAACCCCTGTGAGATGATTTTACCATTGGTCCTTGAGAGACCCCCTTGGATCAGCCCATCCCCTCCACTAGGTGTGCCCAGCCAACCCCCCCACCCCCAAAGGCTAAAGCCTCTTCCCATGGCAGGTTCTGCCCCATCATCATCCTCACTGGCCTCACCTGTCCCACAAAACCCTCAGTGCACCCCGAGTCCACCCCAAGTCCCCATCACTCATCTCCCCTCCAAGTCCCACTGCCCCTCCCAGCCACCCCCCACTCTTGGAGACTCCCCCAAAACCACTTAGTGTCCTCTCAAAATGCCCTTGTGCCACCCAAGACCCTCCCAAACTCCCTCTACCCCTCTCATGACCCACATTCCCCCAGGTCACCCCTGCCACCTTCCCCCACTTTTAAAGGACCCTCAGCTCACCTGTCAGCAGGAAGTTGGGTTTGGCAGCCCCCATAGTGCCATAGGAACCTCCTGGATTTGGATGAGACACCTCTCTGGGTCACCACAACAGGTTCACATTTCCCACCATTTTAGACCCCTTTCACCCTCACCACTATGTTGTCTTAATTTAAACCACTAAAATAAAAGAAAATGAGAGTTTCCTCTTAATTCCAATCTCCCAGATGATGGAAAAGGGGAATTTTCCTCAGTTTAAACCCTTAAAATGGTGAAAATTGAATATCCATCCTCAATTTAAATCTCTAAAAGGAGGAAAAACAGCGCTCCCTCCTCAATTCAGTTGCACAAATTTTTCCCCCTCCCACCACCATGGTTTAGTTGAGGTGTTAGGGCATGGGTTGGACTTGATAATCTTAAAGGTCTCTTCTAACCTAGCGATTCTGTGATTTTCCCCTCAAAACCCACAATTTTTGCAGCTTTTTGACATTTTTTTCCCTCATGAAGCTGTGAGAGATTGGAAAGATAGATGCCCTGAGAAGGTCCCTTAAAATAGACAGTTCACATATGTTCTGCTGTGACACAGCTCCCTGACAAGTCATCACTGCATGACCCCTATTCCATGGCTCATATGAAAGAAATGCATTGCTCCCCTTCCAAATGGATTTGTACTTTTCCTTTCAAAAGTAAAGGTTTCTTCTCAATGTAAGTTTTAAAGTGGCACATAAAGAGGTTCCTCCTGATTTAAATCCTTTAAAAATGAGGGATTCACCCACCATTTAAGCCTCGAAGTTATGAAAAAGGAGTATTGGCCTTTGATTTAAACCCCTGAAAGGCTTTCCCATTCCATATAAACAGTAAAATAATGGAAAATTTGGATTCCCAGACAATTGAAACCTTTATAATACCAGGGGAAAAGTAACTTTTCCTCATTTAAATCCTTAAAATCACAAATAAAGGAAGATCTCACTCAACTGAAACACAGAAAAAAAAAAGTAAAGGAGGTTTTCCCCTCAATTTAAAGCCTTTTTTCCCTCCAAATCCCCAGGTGAGGAGGATAAAGATGATGAGGGCATGAAGCTCCACGCCTGTCTCTAGCTCTGCCTCCTCTGCATCACAGAGTAAGATGCTCCCAGACCACCTCTCTGAGCTGCTGTGTTGGCGGGGTCCCCAGCCTGCATCACGTCCTTCACAGGGAGATGGATTCACTTGACTGGGAGAACGCAGAGCTGCCTTGTACTTGGGTGACCCACAAATTCCCCTGCACCCCCAAACTTCCCCCCCAAGTTGGTGCAGGGAGTGCTGCAGCAGCTGTCCCACCCCATGTGCATCACCTCCCCCACAAAGACAGGTGAGGGCCCCCCACATTTTTTAGTGGGTTCTCCACCCCTTAGACCTCCTCCTCCACCTCCTTCCTACTCCCCCTTCCTCGTGGGGATTCACCCAGATTTCTCCCTCCCTTCCAGACACTCCTCACCCCCATCAGCAGCTCTGTGGCCAGGTACTCAGGTAAAGGGGGCACCACAAATTTGGGTAATTGCATAGGGGGGTCCCCCAGACGCTCCTGCCCCTCTTCTGCAGCTGCTTGACACCCCTGGAGACCCCCTCCATTCCCACAGCACCCCAATATGGCAGCTGAGATGCCCCTACCCCCCCAAAACTGGCAGTACCCCAAAGTAGGGGATGATAGCCACCATGCTTTGCAATCCCCACAGGTGGGCAGAGCCAGGGAACTCCCCTGGCCTCTAGCAAAGGTAGGTGACCCCAAATCCATCTGATTTTACCACAAAACATTCACCCTTCATCCAGGGGATGGAGGGCAGCTGGGGACCCCAAGGTTGAAGGCAATGGGGAGTGACTAGGGGACAAAGGGGTTGAAGGTGGCATAGATCTGCTGGGGACGCAGGGGTTTTGGTGGAGGGGGGTGTATTGGAAAGCTGTGGAGGGCCTGGGGATCAAGGAGGGTGAGGTCAGCAAGAGACCTAGGGGTCAAATTGGGCTTGATGCCTGCAGTGTGCCCTGGTGGCCAAGAAGGCCAATGGCATCCTGGCCTGTATCAGGAACAGTGTGGCCAGCAGGAGCAGGGAGGTCATTCTTCCCCTGTACTTGGCTCTGGTGAGGCCACACCTTGAGTGCTGTGTCCAGTTCTGGGCCCCTCAGTTTAGGAAGGACCTTGAGATGCCCGAATGTGTCCAGAGAAGACAACAAGGCTGGTGGGGGCTTGGAACACAAACCCTGTGAGAAACGACTGTGGGTGCTGAGGTTGTTTAGCCTGGAGAAAAGGAGGCTCAGAGGTGACCTTATCACTCTCTACAACTCCCTGAAAGGTGGCTGTAGTCAGGTAGGGATTTGTGTCTTCTCCCAGTCAACCACTGGCAGAATGAGAGGACACAGTCTTAAGCTGCACCAGGGGAAGTTTAGATTGGACATGAGGAAAAAATTCTTCACTGAAAGAGTGATTGGGAACTGGAATTGTCTGCATGGGGAGGTGGTGGCGTCACCATCCCTGGGCATATTTAAAAAAAGACTGGTCGTGGCACTCAGGGCCATGGTTTAATTGATGAGGAGGTATTAGGTCATAGGTTGGACTTGATGATCTTAAAGGTCTTTTCCAACCATGTTCATTCTGTGATTCTGTGACTCTGCAGTGGAAATGACAGCCATGAAAGCTGATGCTTGTTCCTTCCCCTTATGTGCTCTCCAGCCTGGATGTGTGCCCTGGCTGCCCATCTCGCTGTTCGAACCCTCTGCTATTTTCCCCAGAGCCTGGGGAGGGCGTCACCACCTCGTTGTTCTGGATGTATGGTGAGGAGCTGAAGGCATGTGGCTTTCCAGGTTCTCTGCATCTTGCTAAAAGGAAGAGTGTGTGGAGGAGGCTTATTTTTAGTGGAAAACAGAGATGCCATGCTTAAAACAGAGCTCTCATTTTCAGCTTCAAGCAAGGGTTTGCCAGGGAAAAGGTACTGATGCCAATTTCAGTTGGAATGAAGCTGGAGCACGAGGATTCAAAAGACACTCTCTCTCTCTCTCTCTCTCCCTCCCAGGTTGGATTGAGCGTTGAATCAGAGACAGGAAACCTTTTGTGTGTTGACATAAGACGAGTTTAATAATTAAAGTAAAATATAATACTAACAATAATGATAATAGTGATAAAAACAACAACAATAATAATAATGAGAGCCCCAGAGAGACAAGTGATACACAGGACAGTTACTCACCACCTGCTGACTGATGCACAGCTTGTCCCTGAGCAGTGACTGTCCCTTCCTGGCTGACTGCCCACAGTTTATATACTGGATGTGATGTTCTGTGGTGTGGTGAACTGGATTTGACAGCCTGGTTTTCGATAGCAGGGAAGCCACAGAAGTGGTTTCTGTGAGAAGGTGCTATAAGCTTCCACAACATCCAGTGGAGCCAATCTCTAATGGCACCAAAGGTGGACATGCAGCTGGCCAAGGCTGGGCCAATTAGAAATCGTGGCAATGCCTCTGTGATAACATATTTAAGAAGAAATGAAAACAAAGGTTGGGGTGCAGTTTTAATTTCAGTCAGAGAAGAGCAGAGTGAGAATATGTGAGACAAACAACTCTGCAGACACCAAGGTCAGTGGAGAAGGATGGGAAGGGGGTGCTGCAGGCACTGAAGCTGAGATTCCTCTGCAGGCCATGGTGAAGCAGCTGTGCCCCTGCAGCCCATAGAGATCCATGGGGATGCAGAGATCCACCTGCAGACCGTGGAGGAGACCCACACCAGAGTGGGTGGATGACTGAGAGGAGCCTGTGACCCTGTGGGAGATTTCATGGAGAGAGGGGCCCTGCTCCCAGACTGGAGCAGCCTGTTCTTGTTGGACTGCACCTCGTGGAAGAGTGACCCACGCCACAGCAGTTTTGAGAGGAATGTTGCCTGTGGGATGGACTTTGGTTGCAGCAGTTCACAGAGAGCTGTTTCACGTGAGATGGAGCCATGGCAGAGATGTTCATGGAGAACTCTCTCCCATGGGAGGGATCCCACAGTGCAGTGGGGGAACAACTCCTCTCCCTGAGCAACGGGAGAAGCCATGGGTGATGAACTGACCATAACCCTCATTCTCTGTCCCCTTGCACTGCTGGTGTAGGCAGCAGAGTTGGGAAGGAGGGAAGACTGCAGGGAAGATGCTTTTGAGGGCTTCTTTTACTTTTCATTATCCTGCTCTGATTTTGTTAGCAATAAATTCACGTTGTATCTCAAAGCTGAGCCTGTTTTGCCCTTGATGGTATTTAGTGAGCGATTTCTCCTAGTCCTCATCTCAACTTATGGACCCTTCATTAAATTTTCTCTCCTCTGTTCAGCTGCAGCAGGGGAGTGAGCAAGTGGCTTTTCTGAGTTCCTGGCATCTGGCCAGTGTCAACCCATGACATGTGGAAGATCACTCTGACCAGTTTGGGTCAGCTGTCCTGGCCACGCTCCCTCCCAGCTCTGTATGCAACTCCTCACTGGCACAGCATGGGACAAGGAAAAGTCCTTGATTTAGAGTAAGTACTACTGAGCAAAAATGTCAGTGTGTTCTCAACCTTGTTCTCGTACTAAATTCAAACCCCAGCATGTTGCCAGGTACTGGGAAGAAAATGAACTCTATCCCAGCTGAAACCAGGACAATGGAAAATGCTGGCAGCATGGAGAAACATGGGGCCTGCCAGGAGAGGGGTGGAGGGGCTGCACAAATCCTTGACCACCAGAGCATCAGAGAGAAGAGAATATGAGGAGGCTGAACTGGGAGGTGTAACACGAGGGAGCAGAATGTTGATGGAAAAGCAAA